TCATTACAAGTTCATCCCACCAAGATCTTATTTGTGATGAATAGATAAACTTGCCAGAGGGTCACCTCATTACAAGTTCATCCCATCAAGATCTTGTTTTTGATGAATAGATAAACTTGCCAGAGGGTCACCTCATTACAAGTTCATCCTCCATCAATATCTTATGTTTTGGTGAACAGATAAACTTGCCAGAGGGTCACCTCATTACAAGTTCATCCTCCATCAAGATCTTATTTTTCGATGATGAATAGAGAAAACTTGCTAGAGGGTCACCTCATTACAAGTTTATTCCTCATCACGATATTATTTTATGATGAAAAGACAGACTCGCCGGAGGGTCACCTCATTACGAGCCTATCTCTCATCAACCCCACAGCATTATCATGCGAAATATTTTAGTACACTAGCTGTCATCTTGATAGCCCAGTACCCACAATTTTTTTTTCTAGACTATACTATACTAGTATGGACCACATCTATCACTACTCTGTCTGAAGACTCCGTGTTTTTTAACACGCGTTGTATGATAATCAGGCCGAGTTGATGATGTTGTACCAGGTAGGTTAACTCCAATACATGTGTCTCCATGAGCCACTCATGTCTATGGCCGCCAAAAGCACATCTTTAGCACAGATGGACTTGTGGCGCATAGAGGGGGGGGTGATGTGGAGGACACCTGTCAGGAGTATAACCAACCATGTGTGCACATACAAAGTGTAGGAAGATATGGCTCCCTCGGGGTATCTTGTCACAAGGAGAGTGACAGGAAATGCACCGTCGGAGATGGATATCTTCCGAAGTCCCTGGCCACTTGCCGAAAGTGGAAGCGGAGAGTCTTCGACTCTCCTCTCCCTCTGCCGCTATGGCCACTCTCTCTTTCTACCCTCTTCTCCTCGTTTACACATCACGAGAGGAAATAGCCTTCCCCTGGCAGTGGGATAATACTGCCACGGCACCGGCATCTGTCTCCGACAATAGCCAGTGTCCTCATATGTAGGATAGTGTCAAGAAGCCCTACTTCCGAACCTTGTCGTGGCCCTTGATGATCCCCACCCTACCCTTTGCACCCAACGATGAGACCTGCAGAGAGATACGGGAGGCCATCTCCGAGTGGGATGACACCACCAGGGTTATCGTGGGGCACGGTAGCGGGTCATTCGGGCACGTTGCCGCCGCGAAGCACAGCACCATCGACGGCGTATCGGGGGCCGTCCAGTGGAGGGGCTTCTGTGACGTCAGTGATGCGGCGTCCCGCCTCAACAGGTACGCACACAGCGCATGGCCTGATGGATCCTCGTTCGGACAACGAAGGAGGTAGATGTAGACTATTCCGTTGCTTAATTACTTGTTGGTGCACTTGAAAACAAGCCAATACTGTCCGCATCCCACGTATGTAGGGCTGCCTACACGTCGTCGTAGGCACTAGGTGCTCAATACCAGAGATTAGATATTCGGCGGTAGGCGCAACGGCTGCAGCAATTTAAGCAAACGCGTCATCGTGAAAAATAGCAGCCCTATGTATTGTCACGTATTGCTTGCGGGAGCGCAGACTGGTAACCGCAACATTGCTCAAGGCGGGGGTGCCGGCGATGAGCCTGCAGCCGGCAGCGTCCGCGGTTTGTCGGGGGGGCAGGCTGATTTCAATGGCGACGGCACCAATAAAGGTTTGGCACACACGTATTAATGTCTGTTTTAGAGTTCTGGGTGGAAGCGACTCTTTGCAAACGCGCGTTGGGCAAAAGCATCGCTCGCTCTTTCGGCGATCCCGTTGTAGCTCTCACAGCAGCAGCAGTGGTAGGTTTTGATGAACTACATGATTGCAAACGGTTGCACATTGTGAGGTGCCTGAACATACCCACGCATCTTTCGTAAGGTTCTGGGTCCGTCAGCCCGCCCTCTTGCCTCAAACAACGCTTGGAACCGGGTTGTGCTTTGAACTTGTTTGACATTGAAACAAACCGCTGACACCCTTCGATCTGTTGAGATTTAGGGGACGCTGTTTGCCTGCTTACGTCGTCAAGTCTTGACTATGCCCGGTGGTATCATCTCGACTGACACGATGCTTGCTTGACTCCTCCATGGCACACGTTCGGCCCGCTGGAATCAGGCTGCTTTGGAGGCCGGAATTGTGCCGGTTGTTCACGGCGACGTTGCGTTTGACCAAGAGCTCGGGGGCACCGTGGCATCGACAGAGGAGATCTTTGCTTTCCTCGCCCGGGAACTGAAGCCAC